CGTGTGGATCGTCGGGCTCGTGTCGCGCTCCGGCGGCGGTGTGCTGCTGGCGGGCAAGTACCCCCCCGGCTCGCGCGTCACCGTTGTGGACTCGATGCTCACCGCACGGACGGCTGTTGCGTACCGCGACGGCTATGACCTTGGCGGCGCCTCCGCATGCCTCGTGCTGTACGACGTGGATCTGACGGGGAGTGTGCTGACCGTCGCGCGCACGCAGGTGGCGGCGGTGTTCGACGACGCGGTCGGTGTGCTGGTTGTCGGCGGCGTGGTGCTGCCGTCCGACGGTGCGTTGTACATGGACCGGCTGTCTGTGCAGGCGCCGCTGGGGCTGTGCGTGTCTGTGGAGGGCGGCGTGACGGCCGCCAGCGGCTCGGTGCTCGGGTTCGTGGACAGTGACTTCCTGCTGTGCAAGCACGCGGTGTCGGTGCGCGGCGCCGTGAGCGTGTCTGGCTCTGTGGTGGAGTTTCTGCGCAGCAAGTTCGTGTCGACGCAGGACTACGCGGTTNGGTGCGCGGCGCCGTGAGCGTGTCTGGCTCTGTGGTGGAGTTTCTGCGCAGCAAGTTCGTGTCGACGCAGGACTACGCGGTTGTGTTCTACTCGACGGCGAGCTTCACTGACGATTCGATGCTCCTGATGAGGGGCAACGTGCACGACAGCGTCGCTAAGGAGATGCTGTACACTTCCGGTGGTATGAGCGTGATGGGCAGTACACTGAGCTTCGCGCGCAACAAGGGAGTGTTCCCGCAGATGCTCTCGGTGGGGGTGTCGCTGGGCACGGGGGCGCACATGAAGGCGGCGTGCAACAGTATTGGCGGCAGCGTCCTGACGACGGCGGNGCTCTCGGTGGGGGTGTCGCTGGGCACGGGGGCGCACATGAAGGCGGCGTGCAACAGTATTGGCGGCAGCGTCCTGACGACGGCGGACGAGTACGCCGCTGCCGGTTTCGGTGACGCTGAAAGCATTGAAGTTGTTGGGTGCGACACGTGCGACAAGGACACGTACTGCTACGCGCCTGGTGCGGCGTCGGCGAGCGAGGAGGACGGCGAGTGCGAATGCGCGTGCAGTGACAGCGGGCACGGGGAGGCGTGCGTGCCTGTTGGAGGCACTGCGCTGCCGCCCGCCCCCGGGAGTGCCTCATCATTCCTCCTTGAGAACAAGACCCTGCAGTCGGCGTTAGTTGTGCCGAGCGGTGTGAGCGAGGTGACGCTGCGGCACCTGGTGCTGGATGGCGTTCATGCGGCCATCTTCGTGCCGTTGATGGCAAGCGACGGCGTGCGGATCGTTGTGCAGAACGTGTCGCTGCTCAACGGCGCCGTGCTGTACGTGGCAGGCGCTGACGACCGCCTGGTGGAGCTGTCTGTCTGCGGCGTGACGGCGTTCAATGGCGTGATTGTGCTGACGGGCACGTTCGCCATGGAATCGGTGCTGACCGTGACGGACTCGCTTCTGACCACGACGGCGCCAACGCCGCTTGTGTACCTGCCCGGCTCGCAGTCTGCGCTGTACGCCCCGGCGCTGGTGCTGTCGAACCTGCGGCTTGTGCAATCCGTGCTGGTTGTGTACGACGTGTTTCTGGTGACGGTGCTGGCGGGCGGGCGGACGCTGGTCGCCGATGGTGCGGCGCTAGAGCTCATCAGCGGTGGCATCGCACTGGACGCAGTTGTGTTTAGCGGTGAGTGCGCGCTACATGCCGGTGTGCGTGTGGCCGCGTCGGAGGGCAGCGCACTGCGCGTGACGGAGAGCAAGGTGTACGCCGAACGCGGCTTGGTGTTCGGCAATGGAGTGACAGCGAGTGCGTCTGCTCTTGTTGTGACCGGCAACACCGGCGCGCTGGGTGCTGGTGCGCTGTTGACGCTGGGGCAGCTGGTGTCTTTCACGTCCGATTCGTGGCTTTCAGTGAGCAGCAACAGTATCACCGGACAGATCCTGTCGCTGCCGACCTACCCGTCCAGCGCGGAGTTCCCGAGCAGCACGCTCACATTGTACGGGAACACTGGCAGTGGCTCCGCAGTGATGGACGGCGCCATCGCGCTGGGGAACGCCGGGCGCAAGTTCCTTGTGGGGTGCCTGATGCACAATGGGCAACGATTGGCGCCGATCGACTACCAGTCTGTGGGCATCTCCGGCGTAACCCGCACCGTGGCGTGCAACGCGTGCGACGCCGGGGTGAGCTGTTTCGCTGCCGCAACCAGGTCGATGTCGACCTCATGCCGCTGCAGCTGCGCGGAGGGCGGGTACGGGAGGAACTGCCTGCCGGTGTACCTGCCGCGTCCGGACGGGTGCAACCGCACGCCCCCCGAGCCACTGTGGAGCTACACGGCGACGCTGACAGAGTCGCCCAGCGTGACGCCGACGTGGACAGTGACGCCGCCAACACCGACGGCGAGCCTGAGCGAGACTCGCTACAGCCCGACACACTACGGGCCGACGGACACACGGCAGGTAACCGTGACAGAGACAGTCACAGCCACGGCAAGCGTGACGGTGTCGCTGACAGGCACCGTCCCACCGACGGAGACGGTGACAGAGTCGCTCACGGCAAGCGTGAGCCTGTCGGTGAGCGAGACGCCTGGGTGGCGCAACGTGCCGTGCCCGACACTATCCGTGGCGACGGTGGCGGGCGGCGGCCTCACGCAGAACGAAATCCGTAACGGGGGCGCGACGCCAACACGGCTGGCGGTTGCGCTGCCGCCGCCGTTCCGCTGGGCCAGCGACCCGAGTCTCAGCGCGTACATGAGCTTTGCGCTGGAGTCGCCGAAGCAGCCGAACGGGTTCAGTGGGCCATGGGGGGACATGCTGCGCAATGCGACGTGGGGGCGCAGCGCGACGAGCCCGTACAGCGTGCTGGAGCTTGCTGTGCCCGTGTACAGCGGCTACTTCATCGGCGCGGACGAGACGATATTCATCTCGTCCAACGGGTCCGCTGTGTACGGCGGGTGTCACGGCGCGCTGGTGGGGTCCTTCACGATTGCGTCAAGCACGCCGCCCTCGCTGACGGGCGCGCTGTCGGTAATCAACGGGGCCGTTGCTGGCGCGACGGCGGTTGCCTTTGTGGTTACCGGCGGGCTCGGCTCCATCCTGGAGATACAGGCGCTCGGCGTGTTCGCGAGGATGTCGTGCGCGACGGCGCAGGAGCGTGCGAGCTCCGTTGCGCTGCCGTACTTCTTGTCGGTGTTCGCCGGCCTCGATCTGCTCTGGATGGTGGTGGGCAACGCGTTGATCGCTGCAGCCTTCGGGTGCCTGCACTACGCGCTGACGGTGGCGTACCAGCGGTGGCGCGGCGTGGATACGGTGAGCGCGTGGGCAGCGCTGCGGTTCCCGAGCCTGACGTATCTTGTGGCGTACCTGATGCAACTCGGCATATTCGTCTGCTCCGTGTTCATGCTGGCGACGCCCAAAGCACACGCCGCGTACTACGTGATCGGTGTGATTGGCGTGCTGTACGGCGTGGCGTTCCCGATCGGTGTGTGCTACTTCATCGCACACTACACCGGCGCAAGCTTCACTAAATACTGGCAGTTCTCGAAGAAGCCGCTCCACGAGCGTTGGCTGTACCCTGTTGGGTATTGGTGCCCCGTGCTGCAGCAGCAAATGTACGGCAGCATATTTACGAGCATGAAGGGAAACTACGTGTACTGGTGCGTCTTCCAGCTGATGGTCCTGTGCCTGGTGGGCATCATTGCGGCGGTGCAGCCACCAGCGGACAAGTG